TTGATACTCTTAACCTTATCATTACATTTATTTTTAATTATAATAATAACAGTATTAATGTTAAACGAATAATGATTATTATTCGATGATAATGAAAAGAACAGTTCTTGTTATTATTATCAGTAGTAGTGTTATTATTGTTGTTTTTATTTAATTGAAAGTTTGTATGTTCATTGAGTTTTTCATGTTTTTTTCTTGAAAAGTTGCTTTCCTTTGCCTGTTTTTTAGGTTGTTAATTATTGTGTAATGGTTTATTAGATATCGTCGAACAATGTGTTAGCAGTTGTTACCAAATTTAATATTAATAATATTTCAGTATCCTGTACTGTATGGTTTACGGAGCTGGAGTTTCCATTCGGTAGTAGAATTTTTGCTGCTGGCTGTAAATAATCGCGGGTGAAAAGGCTTTAATAACATCAAGCCACAGGTTCACATTTGGAAGTGTTGATTTTTTAGAGAAAGCGTCTAGGTTATTCTAGATTATTTCAGAATTGTTGAAATTTTCATTTTTTTTGTTTACCATTTATCTCTGATATAATTTTTTCGATAACTGACAATATTTCTTATGTTTATCATTTTCGTTTTTCAAGCTATGATTTTGTTTGCAGTCAAAAAATGGGAGGAGAATTTGGCTGCTCCCTCGAGGAGCTGCGAAATCTGATGGAATATCGTGGAGCTGAGGCTCGAGATAAGATTGCGAATGATTACGGCGGTATTGAAGGATTATGCAAGTCGTTGAAAACATCTGTAGTAGATGGCTTACCGAGTGATGAACAGGTTTTGCAAAGACGTCGCGCTGTTTTTGGTTCTAATGAAATACCACCTCACCCACCTAAGTCTTTACTGAGGCTAATATGGGAAGCACTGCAAGTTAGTTTTCGATCCTGTTCAACTTTCTATATTAATTTGATTAAATGTTTCTTGTTCGGGAAATCAATTACAACTTTACTGCTAATAACTTCCAAAATAGAGGAAGAAAGTTTTGCACATTTGAGGCGTATTTTCAATACCTTCTTTTTTTTTGCAGGACATGACCTTAGTGATTCTTCTTGTTTGTTCCATATTTTCACTAGCGCTCCCTTTCCTAAATCCACCATCTGCAGGTAAAATGATGAATCATTTCTTCGGTTTTTTAAGCGTAGGCATGTTTTTCACAGATTTTTGGGGTCGGATTGGACTTATATTCTTTGAAATCTGTTTTAGGACAGAAAAGAGTAACTGTAAATAACTGTTAGATTTTTACTTTAAATTTTCTATCTTGAACTGTAATAGTTCTTTGGTTACTTATGGTAGAGCAGTAATGCAGTCTTCCACTCTCTTTATTTCTTGTACCTTCCAGGTGATCAGACTGAAAAAGAAGCTAATTGGATTGAAGGTGTTGCAATTCTTCTCTCTGTTGTGGTAGTTGTACTAGTTACTGCTCTTAACGATTATCAGAAGGAGAGGCAGTTTAGAGGTAGTTATTCTTCCCAAAATGAACATTTATCTGTTTGATTTTTTTACATTTCATGATAAGATTTATCGTTATTTTGTTTCTTTTTGTAACCGTCATGTTGCGCATTTATAAAATGGTTAATTCTGAAGACAACATTATTGTTGTACATCTTAAACATGTACTTACTTTTAAGGGTTACAAGCTAAAATTGAAACCGAACACAAATTTTCTGTTGTTCGAGGGGGTCAGGAAAAGGAAGTTTTAGTCAAGGAGCTGGTTGTAGGGGATATTGCTCATGTAAAATACGGTATGGCTTTCTGTTATATTTTTGCTCTTTTTTTTGTAGTTTTGTTCCGTCTTTTTTTTTTACTTTTGAAAATTGAAAAAGTTGTTTTTGTTTATTACGTAATTAGAATTTCAGATCGACTTTGTATTATATTTTCCTAAAATTTTAAACCTACAGAGGTTCAGCATTTTTGGAACTTTTTTGGTTATTATTTTCAATTTTTTGAAAGATACCTATAGTTAATTCTAGATATATGCCCTCTGTAATTCTAGGTGATCTTTTACCAGCAGATGGTATACTGTTGCAAAGCAACGATTTAAAAGTCGATGAGTCGTCTTTGACCGGGGAATCCGACTTAATCCGAAAGGATCCTGATCATGATCCAGTGTTACTTTCGGGTAAACTTTTTGGCTGTATGGCTGTAATTTTCCTTTTTTAAGATTTAGGATTATAATGTGTTATAAATGTAGGTACTCACGTAATGGAAGGTAGTGGCAAGATGCTTGTGACCGCGGTAGGCGTAAATTCACAAACAGGTATAATCATGTCTTTGCTAGGAGCTGCTAAGGATGTAGTTGAGCAGGAGAGGAAGGCAACAAAAAGAGGTCTGTTTTTATGTCTTTTCTATTTTTATTGTTTATGTCTTATTTTTCTACTTTTTCCATTCTTTTTTTGGTGATTGTCACAATAGAAGTTTGGCAAGTTGGTGCGTAACAACTTTATATTACTTTTCAATGACATTTCATTTTTAGGGAATTCGGTGAGTGCTGGTAATGACGATAGCCAGTATTTACTCCTTAAACGTAGGTTTGTTGGTCAATACAAGTTAGATGTTCTTATATTTAGCTGGTGGCTTTTTTTGGAGGTGTCTTTAAATGTTCCGCCTGACTCAAATTTTGTTTCAGCTCAGACCGAAACAGATGGTTCTGCTTCTGCAACGGCTGAAGGACACAAAGAAGGCATTAAAGGGGTCAAGGGAGGTGCTGAAGAAGAGAAAGGGGGTGATGAGGATGAGGAAGCAAAAAAGGACCGTTCTGTTTTACAGGCAAAGCTTACCAGACTGGCAATCCAAATTGGATACGCTGGTAAGAATTCAATAGTTTAACCAGTTTTGTAGTTTTGACAGTAAATTGCCATGAATTTTTTCTGGTTCAGTCTTCATATTTATTTGAAGCAGTATATTAAAGGAATGGTTATTCTAGGTTCGTTCATAGCTTTGTGCACTGTACTGATTCTGATAATACGGTACTGTGTACAGCATTATGCTATCGATAAGGAATCTTTCAAACTCGGTGACTTGCGTCATTTTGTCGGTCATCTAATTATTGGTGTAACTGTTCTTGTAGTAGCGGTACCTGAAGGATTGCCACTGGCAGTCACTTTGTCTTTGGCTTACTCAGTTAAAAAGGTAGTTTTGATACAGTTCTTGATTTTCCGATAGAGTAGAGCATAAGATAACTTTTTTCATTGAAGATGATGAAAGATAACAATCTTGTACGTCATCTGGACGCCTGTGAAACCATGGGAAATGCAACCAGTATTTGTTCAGATAAAACTGGAACTCTTACTACAAATCGGATGACAGTTGTGCAAAGCTATATCAACGGTATTTATTTGGCTTAAAACTAAATTAGTTTTTTAACTGCTGTGACAGTTTAAAGAGCAGTCATTTCTTTTATGATTTTTAAAAAAAACATATATTTGAAGTTTTTTAATTCTTCTATCATTTCTTAAACTAGCTTGGTTTTAGAGGTTCATCATAAGGAAACTCCATGGTTTGACAAATTAGACAAAGAGACGAGGAAGTTGATGTTGGATTGTATATGCATTAACAGTAATTACACTTCTCAAGTATCTTTTTTTTGTCAATTTTTTTGCTGTTTATGGTGAACGATTTATTTCCAAAAGCAATTCCAGGTCATCCCTCCAGAAACGCCGGGTGGTTCGATAACTCAGCTTGGCAACAAGACCGAGTGTGCGCTGCTTGGCTTCGTTGTGGCTTTAGAACAGAATTATAAAGCAATCAGGGACAAACACCCTGAAAGCACCTTTTTTAAGGTTGGTTAAAAATTTTTGAAAGTTCTGATGTTTGTCACGGCCGTTATGCAGGTGGGATATATTATTTGCTTGAGGATTTTGTAGATTAGAGATCCGAGAACAAGATTTGTACGTTGAAAAGTTTATAGATTTTTCTCTTGAAACTTTAGTACTAGTGGAATACAGTTATCAGTTTACAAATAGCAAAGGAGTTGACCTGAAAAAGTAACGGTCAGGAATTCTGACTCTGTTGTGGTACGGAAAATGATTAAATCTAGGTTGAACCACATATGCAAAGATTAGAGTATGAAATGACTCTAACTTACTTCCTTTATTTATAACTGAAGATTTTTATTGTGGAGTACTGTCACGCTGTTTCACTAAAAAGTCATTTGAATTAGAAAAAAAAACTAAATCTTGAAGGTCGTTTAGAATTTAGTGAAAGAATTATTTGTTTTCACACTACTGTTCATTAAGGAATTTCTTCTGTCAAGGAATCATCATTCTGCAGTTTCAATTTTTTTAGATTGTAAACCAAGCTTATTAGGGTTTTTTGATCGTGGATGTCTTCTGCAAGGTTTTTATGCTGTTTTTCATTTTTTAGTGTAGTTTAAGTTTTCGTGGGTTGTAACCTTATGAACTAGCATTGCTTTTTTTAATTGGAAGCGGAATTGTGTGTGGAATTAGAGTTTGAGAGAAACTTACTAGAATTCTTGTAGGTTTACACTTTCAATTCAGTCCGGAAGTCTATGTCAACCGTTATCGAACAAAAGTTTGATGAAGACCAAGAGGGCTATCGGGTGTTTAGCAAAGGCGCTTCTGAAATCATATTAAAAAAGTTGGTCGTTTGATTTCAAATCATCTGTACGATATTTGCAGTACTATGTAGCTTGGACGGAACTGATTAGTGCTGTTCAGGTGCCGCTGGTTTATTGGAAAGGATGGTGCACTGACAAAGTTTTCTCAGAAGGACTACGATCGCTTGGTCACAAATGTTATTGAACCAATGGCATCAGATGGGTTGCGCACTATCTGTTTGGCGTACAAAGACTACGTCCGAGGTTTGAAAACAGCTGAAAATCAGGTTAGTAAATTTCCTCGTTGTAGTTGTTATTATTCAACGTGAAATATCCAGATTTTGTGCCGATACGGATTGGTTATTCTACTTAACTATTTTTTAGATTAATTTTGATGGTGAAATTGATTGGGATAACGAGGATGCTATTATTAATGACCTGACAGCTATCGCAATTGTTGGTATTCAAGATCCTGTCAGGCCAGGTAAACTAATTTTTTTGTCTTATTGTGAAAAAGGGGTTTTTGGATTGCCTAACAAAATTCTTTTTTGTGTATTACATATTTCTTTGATTAGTTTTTTAATAAAGGATTTCTTGTTTAGAAGTACCAGAGGCCATATCTAAATGTCAGCGTGCTGGTATAACTGTTAGAATGGTAACTGGCGATAACATTAATACAGCGAGATCTATTGCCACTTCCTGTGGAATTCTTAAACCTGGCGAAGACTTCATTGCACTGGAAGGAAAAGAATTTAATGCCAGGATTCGAAATGAAAAGGGAGAAGTGGTGCAAGAAAAACTTGATGCTATCTGGCCTAAATTGCGTGTTTTAGCTAGAGCGCAGCCAAGTGACAAGTACACTTTAGTTAAAGGCATTATTGATAGCAAAATAACAGAGAACAGGTGATTTTCGAAAAATTTTTTAACTTTCTCATACAAAGACCCTATTTTTTTTTCTACACTTTATTGCTAAAAAGTGAGGCTACTTCTTATTTTTTTTCGCTATTACTCCACTTTTTCTGCTGCTTTTTAACTTTTTTGAAACTACATCTTACGCTTTCATATGGCAGGTGGAAATGACATAGATTTTTAGAGAAGTTGTTGCTGTTACTGGTGATGGGACGAATGATGGACCAGCACTAAAGAAAGCTGATGTTGGCTTTGCTATGGGCATTGCAGGAACGGATGTGGCCAAAGAAGCCTCAGATATTATTCTTACCGATGACAATTTCACTTCAATAGTAAAAGTTCGTTTCTATTTTTTACGAGAAAATTTACCTGTGTTGATGTTACAAATGTTATTTGAATTTTTTTGGAGTGCTTTTTTGCTATTCATATTAGTGATTTTTTTGTTGGTTGAATCATATCTTCGAATTGGGTTGCAGGCTGTAATGTGGGGTAGAAATGTGTACGACTCCATTGCAAAATTTCTTCAGTTCCAGCTCACTGTCAATGTTGTTGCAGTAGTGGTTGCTTTCGTCGGTGCCTGTGCCGTAAATGACTCTCCCTTAAAAGTAAAATAGTGTTCAGTGTTTGATATTTTCTTACAGTAGAAATTTGCACAGTAAAACGACTTTTCCTCTCATGTTCATTTATTTTTTTTTTGAAAAGTAAACTGTTGTTTACTACTTCTAGGCTGTACAAATGTTATGGGTAAATCTTATTATGGATACGTTGGCTTCGTTGGCTTTGGCTACTGAAATGCCAACTGAGGAGCTTTTGCAACGTAAACCTTATGGTCGAACGAGTCCTCTTATTTCTCGTACGATGATGAAAAATATAATTGGTCATGCGGTTTACCAACTGGCTGTTCTTTTCGTACTGGTATTTTACGGTTAGTCTTTGATAGTGAATTGATTCCTGGTTTAACTGAATGATAAGTTATTACACTGATGTTGTCTACGGGTATAGTGCATGCAATTTTTTAGAGAAGAATTTTTGTTATATATTATTTTTTCTGTTTCTGTATGCTTTAATAGCAGCAAATGACGCCTAATAGTCTTTTTCCAGGCGACAAAATTTTCTCAATCGAAAGTGGACGCAATAATGAATCCGGTCTTCCTACAACCCATTTCACAATGGTGTTCAACTCTTTCGTTCTCATGACTCTTTTCAATGAGTTAAATGCACGAAAAATTCATGGAGAGCGAAACATTTTCAAGGTTAGATGGTCCTGTAGAGGAAATATCATCCTCCTTGAAATCTTCTTAGTTGAGATTCTGAAATTGAACATGTCTATCATAGTGAAATATTGTCTTCTGGTTTTTGAAGAGCAAATGATTACAGTGCACTTTTTATTTCGTGAAGGTTGCTGCGCGTTTAGGTTTTGTCCTTTTTTATTTCTGTTTTTTCTTGTAGGGACTTTTCTCGAACTCTATTTTTTACACTATATGGATTAGCACTATGGTAGCTCAGTTACTTATTGTACAGTTTGGAGGGCTTTGGTTTTCTACTAAGGCTTTAACGATCGACCAGTGGTTGTGGTGCTTTGTATTCGGCGTTGGCGTTTTGATCTGGGGACAGGTCAGCTATCTTTTACTAACTATTCTATGCAACCTTTTTTGCTGTTGGCATTTCTAACGTTTAGAGCAGATGAAAAAGAAATGATGAGTGCTACTTGCTTTGTTTTTTTCTAAAACACTTCTGTACGCTTGATGAAACGTGATTTTTTAGGTTGTGGTGACAATGCCATCATCCGGAATTCCAGAGACGATGCAGATTGGCAGCGGTGAACCTGCGCCTGCAGACCAAATTCTGAGTGGAGAATTTCAGGATTCACAGACTCATGAAAAACGCTCAGGGCAAATATTATGGATTAGGGGTCTTACACGTCTGCAAACACAGGTAACCTTTTTGTTACCCTGAACTAATTTTTTGAATTTTCTGCATTTTTATTTTATTTGTTTTAGCTGTTTGAAAGTGAAGTCAGACGAACCTCCTTGAGGGCGTTCTTTATTGTACTGCCTGATCGGAAATCATAGCTTTAAAACTTTTTTGATTACGCTAATTCTTATGAGTTTGGCTTTTTAGATTAGCCGTTTTTTCTTCAATAATTTTATTATTGTTTTACAATCCCTATTCATTTAAAAATTTCATAAGCTGCTTAGTTTTCTTCAACTTTTTAGCTCT